TAAAATTTAAAAATTTTTATATATAGAAAAAATTAATTTTTAGAGTTCATGTATTTACATTTTTGCACCAGCCTATAAAATCAAAACTGATCTAAAGAATTTAAAATAAAAAAATACAAATTTAAATTTTAGATTATAGAAATAGGTACTTTGCAATCAGAATCCAATAATAAAATTAAAAAGGATTAAATAAAAAACTAAACAATAAATAAAAAATTAAAAAATTAAAAGTAAATAGAAAAAAATTTAAAAAAAACATTTATAATCATAGATGTTTATTTATTATCAAAAGTCTGTTAACAAAGTGTTTGAAATAGAAAAAATGATCTTGAATCTATAGTTGCTATCCAAATAGTTATAACTATTGGTTCAAACTGGTTATATTAGAAATTTTGTCTTAAATTCTAATTCATACAGTAAATTTGAGACAAGTTTTATAGCTTTGACTAGTTCTAAATAATCTAAAAAGTTCTAAAATCTCAAACTAGTTAGATTTGGGTGACAACTATACTTGGCACAGGTCGAATTTTAAATTTCTATAACAATTTCTAAAGGAGATCAGCAAATATTAGATATCGATATGTCTGGTAGCTAACCGATTTTTGGAGTAGATATTGGTTTAAAGATTGTACCTGGGTAAACATTTTATTACAGATACTTCTATCAAAAAGTATTAGATATCTGTTATGCCTATCAGAACTGATCTTCTGAATAGATAAAAATACATGCCAAAAATTGGTTAGCTATTAGACATATTGATGTCTGATATTTAAAATTTTAAAATTCGACCTGTATAGATCATACTATTAGGTACTTCTAAAGATAAAAAGATAGCATTTGAATGAGACTTGAAATCTACTGAAGTAAGCTTCTTGTGGAAGAATCCTGCCAATAACAATAAAAAAAGTAAAAGATATGATAATTGATGAAAGCAAAATAGATAGAATTCTGTATGTATACCCTTCCATTTTATTTATCTGACTTTGAAAACAGATGTATATTTAGCAACTAATATAAAATGTTTCATTAACTTTATCTACACTAGCAGATTTTGATAATTAATAAACGCTTTGTGTTTATTCTTTTCTAGACTAATTCTATTTCAGAAACAATGTCCAAAGATATATACTCCACCTACATGACCAACTTTAGTAGATTCTGATGATAAATGGATGCTCTGCTTTTTACATATTCATAATAGTACTCAATTATATATTCTATCAGTATAATTTATTTTTGCTAATTTTAGTATCTAGTAAATATCTTCTTCTTTGCATTTCTATTTGATATAATAATTACCAGGTTGAGATATGGGGTCTTTGTCTTGAAAATAACTTTATGAGACATAGTAATTACTATGTTTCATAAAGTCATTTTCAAGACAAAAACCCCATACTTCATTTTTAGTGTAACCATATTTTATCATTTTGATAATTAGACGACACAGGTGGTCTTTCTTTCTCTTGATCTAAATTTTTTACTGAGTACTTAGTTAGTAGATGTTCTTTACGCTTTAGACTAATTAATTGGTGATTCGCCAGTCACCTGGTGCATGATCATAGTGTAACGTGATGCAGATCACTATGTAAATCACATATACCCGAATATGGCGTTCGCCCAAGGAAACCTTTTTTTGTACTAAGTTGATCGCTCTTCTGGATTAAGTGAAAATTGTAGAGCTCGTCAAGGCGCATCTAACGGTGGTAAAATCATCCATATTGGCCCAGCCAATAGCGAGATATCGTCGAAAAACGATTGGCCGACTATATAAAATCTCTATGTAAACAAACATTGTTTATATAGAGATTTTATATAGTCAGTCAATCGTTTTTCGATGATATCTCGCTATCAGCTAGGCCGATATGGATGATCTTATCACCGTTAGATGCGCCTTGACGAGCTCTACAATTTTCACTTAATGCAGAAGAGCGATTAACTTAGTACAAAAAAAAGTTTCCTTGGGTGAACACCATATTCGGGTATATGTGATTTACATAGTGATCTGCATCACGTTACACTATGATCATGCACCAGGTGACTGGCGAATCACCAATTAATACAAATTAATTAAATTTAAATTATAAGTATTTATAACTAGCTTATTTTAAATACTTAGGTGTTGATTTTTCTTTTACTATTTTTTTATGCTAATTGATACTTTCACAAATCTAAGAAACTGACCAAAGTTCAATTGCTTGTAATCTTTCTTTTTTTATTCTATTCTATTAATTTAGGCTTTCACTATCCGTTTTTTTTTCATGTAGTCTTACGATGTATAAGAGCATAGTGTAGATCTAAAAGTTAATACAACAATACTATTACTTCTTTTGTCTAATTTTAATTAATAATATCAAGGTTCTTATCTCTTATTCCTTCTACTCTTCGCTTTATAGCTTCAGGTATATTCTTTGTCAATTTTAGCTCATTTATTCAAAATCTAACTAATTTATACATCATGTAATATTGATCAGCATATTCACAAGCCAACTGCTGTTGCAACACTTTAAATCATGATTTATGATGACTTTTGAAGAATAAAATCTCTTTAATATAGTATAAATCTAGTGATTCTAATAAATAAGACCGATTCTTACTAGATTTGAAAGAGATTAGAAATTATACCTAATAATCTGTTTATTACAGTATTAGTTTAAAGTTTGGATAGAAATCAAAATAAAAAAAAGTTTAAATTAAAAAAATGATAATAGCTTATTCTAAATGTGAAATTTAGCTATTGTCTTTTATAGAATTCTAAATATGTAATATAATAGAAAGATTTTTAAAATTGCTTGTCTTGGTCGATTTCCATAATGTCTAACTCTCAAAGGCTTGAAGTTGAAAAAATTTACCTAAAATAAAGTGAAAGTGAAATAAAAATGCAATAAAAAAAATGTATTTATAAATATTTTAGTATTTATTGATCTAATAATCTTAATATATGTATTATAGAAAATGCTATATTCATCCAAGATAAAGTTTTTAATAAAAAACCCTTTACACTTAGTGATTTTAAAGTTATAACTATGTGGTATTATTTTATTATTTGTGTTACTTTTATATAATATTTATATAAAATTTATTAACTTCACATATGATCTTAAAACTTCAATTTGAGCTTGCATATATATGATCTGTATAAAAAATTTCATCAGTTGACTAGCAAATCATTAATTAATTTTAAAAAATTAATTTCTTTATATTTACATGTTAACTTTAATTATTTTAAGATTTACCAGACTAATTTTGATGATCTAACTACTATTAAAATCAAAAAAATCTTTTTTACAACTTTACTTAGAAGCTCAACAAACTTTAACTTAATAAATTTTTTTTAATTTTAAAAAAAATCATTTTTTTAAATTTAATTAGTCATTAAAAATAAAATTTTTTATATCTTTTTGTGCAATCTATAGTAAAAATAACAAAAAACTATAGTAAAAATAACAATTTTCTAAAAATATTATTAGTTAAATTTAAATTATATAGTAGAATAGAATTAAAAATACTATATATAAAGATATTTAATAGTATTCTTTAAACTGTATATTTTAGTATACAAATTCGTATATTTAAATTTTTAGAAAAAAATTGAGATATAAAAAAATTTTTTAGTAAAACCTCTATTATAATTGATTATAGTAACTTTTAAAAACCTATATTATATAGCACACTTTATAATTATAACAATAGTATACTTCATGTGATCTAAACAAAAAGCAAAACTTCACCTAATGACCATGAAATATGCTTTGTGATCCAAACTTTGAGCTGCTGTATCTTTATAGCATTATCTCAAAAATCAATAATATGAAGTTGATTATAAAGAATCTTTAATATTACATTATAAAAGAAACCTGTATATGATGATTGTAAAGAATCTTTATAAGCATCATATGCAGGTTCCTTTTTTAGTATTAAATTTAGATATTAAAGTTCTATTATGATTTTATTATGATTCTATTATGATCTATATTAGATAACTAATTTCTGAAACATTATAAAAAAAAATTATAAAATAGGTATTACATAGCATTCAACATATAGAATGCTTTTATTTTAGTTTAGAAAGTAGAAGATAAGGTTTAATAAAATTTTGAGTAATATGTTTTTAAAAATTTAAGTATATAAATATATAGTTTAAGGAATAGTAGCTAAATAAAGTAATTAGCTCTAACTGCAAATAGTAACCTGAGTTAAAATATAGCTATTAAATATTTCTTAGAGTAGCTTAATATACTTATAATATAGATAAATTTTTAACCAATACAACAAATTACTTCTAAACATTTATAAAAATAATCAAAAGATATCAAATTTATAATTTAAAAAAATTTGTATAATTAAAGATATAATATACTTAATAAAGATATTAACAAGACTGCCAAAAGATTAAAAAAATTATAAATAAAATAACTCCAAACATAAATATTTAAATAAAAAACTTTATAATTATCTCTAAAATCACATCTGCTTATAAAAATATAAATTTTTAAAATCAACTTATATAATACTTATAAAATTTAATCTTTATATAAGCACAAACTTTCTAAAAACATCAGATTCTTAAAACCAAGAATATGATTTGACCGTATTTAGTAAATAATTTTTATATTTAAATATTTATTTAATAACCAATTATTTATTCAAATATTCAAATATTTAATGAATATTTGAACATAGTGTTCATCAAGTCAGACCTTTATATATCATAATATCAACAACCAAAAAATTTAAACACATCTTGAAACACTGTGGCGAATCTATATTAAAAAAATTTCGACATGCCGTCTGCCATAAATTATCCATAATTTAGACACCCATGTATAAGTAGTATTCTAATATAAAGTGTATTTTTTACAGCATAAGGATATAATATTTATAAAAATGAAGCACCATGTTCAATATGCATTCCATGATCTAATTCGAATTTTGAACCAAATGTTTCAATCATTTGATTCAGGTAACCGTATGGTTATTGTCTATAAAGAATATATTTTCATCTATTTTCGTAATGATTTTTTTTTCTTTAATTTACGTGACACCGTATGTTCTTTACTTTTCCTCTTCCTTTTAACCTCGAGAGAATTCACTGTTGATTTGCAATAATTGTTAGATCCAGAATCACAATTAAGATTGACACCGGGTTTTCGTTCTTTGCCTTCTTTGGTGTAAATAGAACTTTTATTGTCTAAATTTAAATCGTCCATGTTAAAGCAAGGCCGTTCATCATCGCTTTCATTTTCAAAGTATTTTGCTGAATGATACGAATGCGTATTAGTAATAAAAAACAAATCTTCCATATTGTGCATCAAAAAAAAAAAAAAGGGAAGAAAAAAAATACCATTTTCCGCACTTTCTATCAGGTTCTTCTTTTTTGCCTTTAATGAAAAGTAGTCTTGTGTGTTTAATTTATTAACTATTGTTTGAAAACAATTAACATCGGAGAAATGATCTTTTTCATTTTTATTGGAATTATTTGGATTGTTTACAACACTTTCAGAGTCGTCTTGGTTGAAACTATTCTTAAAATCATAAATGGATTCGATCTTCGTGACATTAGACTTAGTTTTTACGCCCAAAATTTCCTTCAATCGTTCAGAATCTTGTACAGCAGCCTTTTTACTTTTAAGATATTTTGCACGATGACTTTTGATATTCAATTATTAAGCAAAAAAAAATAGAGATTAGAGTTGAACAAATTAATGAACTGTACTTGAAATATCAACTCACGCGAGACGTATAGAAGTACATTCTGAATTGACATTATTGCAATTTGACTCATTTGTGATTTTCGACTCATTTGTGATTTCCGACTTGGAAAGATCCATATCGACATTCTTCTTATTCTTAACTAGTTTTTTATCTTTTTCGTGTTTTTTCTTTTTTTTTTGTTTTTTGTGTGCTGGTATTTTAATGCTCGAGTCAAGATCTAACTCAAGGTCATTACTATTATTTTGCACAATATTTTCTGCGATATTATCAACATTGTCTTGAGTTTGTTGGTTTAATCCTTTTAATAATTCATTGAATGCATTCGAGTTATCTAACCAATTGTCAATTGTTTTCTTGGAGGCACCAATTCCGAGATTATCTAATTTATTAGAAAGCTTGATACATTCCTGTGATCCATTCTCATTCATCCCAAGCCCTTTACCAGGTGACCAACCCATCTTTGATAGCATTTTATAACCATACTTCGTTTTGTCTAGTACGTTTCATTAATTTTCGAATTCGGATATGATTTTTTTTTTTTTTTAAGCGAGAAACCTCGTAAATATAATTAAATATAGAAAGATGTTTAAGCTCGGTGAAAGAAAAACTTACCATTACTCCATGCTTGATTCCTAGGATCAGCTGGTATCCGTTGTTTTATTTTTGGTCCTGCGAGACCCATTCACAATATGGTAGATAATAAAGACGCGGTTTTTTTTTTTTTTTTAGATGAAACATGATTAATTAAATTAGGTTTTAGGTTACACCTGATCTTGAATCTGGATTAGATTCCGGTAACAGGAGGAACCGTCGATGTTACACGACTGATCTTTCGCCCGGTGTGCATCATATAAAAAAAAAATTATTTTACAATACAAGATCAGTCCGCTAGCACATGTTACCATTTTATTATAATGTGCTAGTGGACTGATCTTGTATTGTAAAATAATTTTTTTATATGATGCACACATATTGGATAACTTTCTCGTGATTGGTCGATCACACAAATTGAATATCATGCCATGATTGGTCACTTTGCAGATCATGTGCC